ATTGCTTCAATAAATGGTGTTGGGAGAATGGGACAGCCACATGCAGAAGAGTAAAACTGGACCACTATCTTACACCACACCCAGAAATGAACTCAAAATGGATTAATCCCCAGAAGACATGCAAACAGCCATCAGATATATGAAAAGATGTTCAATTTCACTAGCTATTAGGGAAATGCAAATCAAAACTACAATGAGATACCACCTCACACTTGTAAGAATGCTTAATATCAAGAAGACAAGTAATAACCAGTGTTGGAGAGGTTGTGGAGAAAAAGAAACTTCATTTAGTGCTGGTGGGAATGTAAACTGGTACAGCCACTATGGAAAACAGTATGGTGGTTCCTAAAAAAAAAAAAAAAAAAAAAAAAAAAAAGAGTTACCATATAACAGACTCAGCAATATCCCTCTTCTGGGTGTCTACTCGAAAAAGTAAAAAATATGTATTCGCCAAGATATATGCACCCTATGTTCCTTGTAGCATTATTCACAGTGACAAAGATATGGAGACAACCAAAGCATCCTTCAATAGAGGACTGGATAAAGAAGATGTGGTACACATATACTATGAAGTACTACTCAGCCATAAAAAAGGTGAAATACTGCCATCTGCAACAACATGGATGGGCCTTGAGGATATTACACTAAGTAAACTAAGTCAGTCAGGAAAAGCTAGGAACCATGTGACTTCATTCATATGTGGGATACAAAACTGAAACTCAGAGACATGGACAGACAACAGTATGGTGGTTATCAGAGGAAAGTGGTCGAAGGGGTGGTAGAGGGTAAGTATGTAGTGAAGGAAGGTGATTTGCCTTTGGGCAATGGGTACACAATGCAATATACAGATTATGGATCATAGTAATGTACAATTGAAACCTATATGACTCTATTAAACCATGGCACCCTAATAAATTTTTTAAAAGACAAAAAAAAAAAAATGGATTAAAGCAGTAATTTTCAACCAGTGTGCTGCAAGAATTTTTTAAAAGATGCAATTCCTGACTTTTTAATCAGCGACACTGACCTCTTTTCTCTTAGATTGTCAAATTTAAAAATAACAACAGCCAACACAACAGCAGCTATCTAGTATGAGTAAATCAAAATTATACCTCCTTATTTTGGTCAGATCAGCAAAAAACATATTTTTTTTGGCGTGCCTCAGACTTTTAGTAATTAGTGTATGTGTGCTGTGAGATGTAAAAGGTTGAAAATCATTGGATTAAAGATTTGAACATAGACCTGAAACCATAAAACTCGAGAAGAAAATATGTGAAGAAAATGGAAACACTAATTGGAAAAAATATATGCACCCTTAGGGTCACTGCAGCATTATAGCCAAGATATGGAATCAGCCCAAGTGTTGATCAGTGAGTAAATGGATCAAGAACGAATCTTGCCATTTTTTATAATGGGTGGACCTTGAGTGTATTATGCTAAGTGAAAGAAGTCAGACAGAAGAAGATGAGAACTAGATGATCTTACCTATATGTGGAACTGAAAAAAGAGAACTCATAGTACAGAGAATAGATAGTGGTTGCTAGAGGTAGGGTTGGAGGGGGGGCAAAATGGGTGAAGGGAGAAAAAGTTACACATTTCCAATTATAAAATAAATAAAGGGATATAATATGCAGCATTGTAACTATAAATAACGCTGAATTGTATATTTGCAAATTGCTGAGAGAAGATTTTAAAAGTTCTCATCACAAGAAAAAAAATTTTGTAACTATGTATAGTAATGGATAACTAAACTTGTTGTACTGGTTATTTTGCAATATATACAAATATAAAATAGTTATATTGTGCACCTGAAACTAATATGTTATATGCTAGTTATTCTCAATAAAAATTAATTGGGTGTATTTTTGGAAGCTGATTTCTTTGGAAACCCATCTTGTTGCTTAATGGATGGTTTTGTAAATCAATGACTTTGTAGAGAGATGGCATATCAAACTCAATTAATTTTTACCAGAAAGTAACAGTTGCATATTAAAACTGAGCTCTAATTGATAAAACACACCTAATTTAAAAGTCTTATAGCAAAAGTAGATTTTTACTATCTCAGTTTTAAAAGATGAAAATTCTATTAAATTATTCATATGCAGATGAAAACTGTGTCACATTTATATACTATCATATTCTAAAACAATTTTGATTTATATATGTTCGTTTTTTAGTTAGGGAGTTATTTATTTTTAAGTTAAAAAATATGTTCTAGTGTTTAGATTCATATTTTGAGAAATGTTATTTTTAAAACCCAAGAAATAAAATATAGAATACCTCCTGAGGATAGGTTACTAAAAGCAGCCACATTGAGACAAAATGATGGACACTGAATTAATCCTCTTTATGGTAAGTTAATCACTACAAGATGTAAACTGACATGCTCCTTTTCATTACTTCATTTGTTATCATGAACACTAAATTATAAGCTATTTGTGAAGGGGGAGAATGACAAAAACAGAGCGTTTCTTTGGTAAACCAATTTGCATGCATAAATTGAACTCCTGTTTCAGCTTTTGTAAATAATTAAATGACTCGTGAATAAAAAATAAATTTATTAAATGATTACATATGATGATCATACTTTCTTATGTGTTTAATATTTTTAAAGAAAGAGAGAAAGATGTCTCTACTGCTAAAAACCAATTGGTCCAGCAGCTGCCAGTAGGCATCAAATAGTCCATGCAATCTCTCTAGCATATCAAGTTTCCGCATAAGAATGGATCTATTTCTAGGCTCTTAATTCATTCTATGCTACTGATCTGTTTCTCTGTCCTTATACCAATAGTTAATGATTATATTAATTACTCTTATCCATTGGTGATTTTGATTGGCTTCCACTGTTTCCCTGGAAATTTTTTTACTTAGCCTTGGGATTTTGTCCTTTGTAAATCTTGAATTCGGATAGGCAATTTGCCCTCCACCATTCCAGAGTGTCTTAAATATTCCTGCAAAAGTTTCAATTTTACTTGTAGCCCTAGCTGGTTTGGCTCAATGGATAGAGCATTGGCCTGCAGACTGAACGGTTGCATGTTCAGTTTTGGTCAAGGGAATGCAACTTGGTCCCAGGCTCCATCCCTGGCTGGGTGGATATCTAACCAAAGGATATGTCTCTCTCACATTCATGTTTCCTTCTCTCTCTCTTTCTCTCTCCTTCTCTCTCTCTCTCTCTCTCTCTCTCTCTCTCTCTCTCTCTCTCTCTCTCAAAAATAAATAAATAAATAAATAAATAAATAAATAAATAAATAAATAAATAAATAAAATTGATGGTCAAATATCCTCTGGTGAGGATTAGCCAAAAAAAAAAAAAAAAAAAAAAAAAAAAAAAAAAAAAAAGTTTGAATATCAGCCCTGCCCGGTGGTTTCGTGGTTAGAGCACACGCCCAGATTTGGGGTTTGATCCCTGGTCAGGGTATGTGCTAGAGGCAACCCATCTATGTTTCACTCTCATATTGATGTGTTCTTTGTCCTTCTCTCTCTCTTCCGCTCTCTAAAATCAATTAAAATATATATTTTTTAACTTTGAATTTTAAATGTAGTTTGTCAAATAAAAATTCTTTTGGGACTGTATTTCAAATTTATAGATTAATTAGAGAGGCATGAAAATGTTTACAATGTTGAGTCTTCCCACCATGAACTTGGTATAATCTCCCATTTATTTAGTTTCCTTGTTGTTGCTGTTGTACGTTAGTTTCCAGTATTCCTGAATTACCTGGGGATTTTTTTCCTCAACAATTTTAATACTTTCTTATCCATTGATGATGTTGACTGGCTTCCACTGCTTACCTGGCAAATTTTTACTTAGCCTTGAAGTCTCATTTCAAATGCTACCTCCTGGGTGAAGGTTCCCCCATTGCTCCTGCCACTCAGAGGATTTATTACATTTGTCATCTAATTGCAAAAGGAAGTGTTTACTGATTGCTCACTATGTGCCAGAGCATTGTGTGAAGCACTCGCTGAGCATTAGTCCATGTAATGTGCAAAGCAGCCTTTTGAAACCAGAGTTGGTGTTAGTCTCTCCATTTATGAAGTAAAGAAGCCCAAGAGGCAACCTGTCTAAGGCACAGAGCCAGGCGGAGGCAGGGCCTGGAGAGGGTGCGGGCAGGCTGGCTCCGGAGCCCATGCTCTGAGCCTGGGACATTCCCTTTCAGGCAGTTGTGCTGTTGCACTGAAGTGGTTCACATGCATTCACACAGCCCAGAGGAAGTGTTTGGAGTGCACACACGGAACCAGACGCTGTGAAAGGTGCTGGTTGAACATACGGTGTTGAATAAAACAGACATGAAATAAAAATCACACCGGGACGAATATAGGCACACAGAGTGGGAGGAGGGAAGCCTCGCCTCCTCTGGGATCGCCCAAGAGAGCCTAAAGCCAAGGGTGGGAGAGGGTGCGCTGGAGGGGGAGGGGGAAGGTGGTGCAAAAGGGAAGAGGGAGGATAGAGGTCTGTTGCCCAAAGCAGCATGAATGCCTCTGAAAGCCAGGAGTGGGATGCTGGAAGGAGAGGCCTGCGGGGCGCACTGCCTGGGGCAGGGCCATGGACTCTGCTGGAGACCCCCTCCGCCATGTGGGTGCGAGGGCGGAAGCACTGAGGAGGAAAGGGGCAGAGGTCCGGAGGACAGATCTGAGAGGCCCCAAGGCCTGTGCAGACTCTCACCGGGGACCCCTGCGGACGCAGAAGCGGGGCCAGTCGCCAAAGCCATTGGAATGAGTGACCGATCACCTCCCGCTGTCCACCCAGGCGGCGCAGGCCGGGCTGGGACAGCGCCTGGGGGCGGGTCCCACGCGCGGGGGTCCGCGGGCGCCTCCAGTTGGGGGCAGGCGGGCCCCACGAGTCCCTCGAGATGGCCCCGCGATTGGTCGCGAGGAGGCCTCACCGTGGGGGGCGGAGTTGCCAGTGCTCCTGAGACTGTGGCCCCTTCTTAAGCCCGCGGAGCCTCTGGTCGCCTCGCCAGCCTCTCCCGCCTCACCCCCACCCCCACCCCTCCCCCAGCACCATGGCTTCCGCACTGAGCTATGTCAACAAGTTCAAGTCCTTCGTGATCTTGTTCGGCACCCCGATCCTGCTGCTGCCGCTCATCATCGTGGTGCCCACCAAGGTCAGTTGGGTCTCCCCGCAGCCCCGGGGGCTCCAGGCTACCGGTCCCACCAACGGGCTTCGAACGAAGGCAGGCCACGGAGTGGGGGCGCAGGGATTCCGAGGCGGCACAGCTCCCCGGGAGCTCAGGGGCCAGATGGGAGGTGTCCTAGGGGCACCCCAACCTTGGGGTTTACAGATCCCAGGACACAAGAATCGTCCCAGCAAGCACGGAACCTGGCCGCTAGCACAGATCTCTCCACACAGAACACCCACAGGCTGAGCCTGGCCTCAGTCTCCCCAGAGACTCCCGCCCCTCCCCTTGAGTGCCCTGGCCTGGCCTTTCCCTCCTCTCTCCTCTTTCCTCTCTCCTTCTCTCTCCTTAGCGAAGAAGGACTTCCCAGCTGTAAGGGCTTCTGAGATCAGCCAGGCACCTAAGTGGATCCTGAGTGCTGTCTTTGTCACTCTCTGGCCCCATTTTGTGCGTCCGTTTCCCTATCTTTGGCCCACTTCTCTTCCCAACTCGGAACCCCTGGACGCCATGGCTGAGTCAAAATCCTCCTGGGGCTGAAAGGCGGGTCAGGTGGGTCTGCTGTGCGCGCTGCCTGCTGTGGCTGAGGCGGAAGGCCACCAGGTTCCCAGAGCTCACGCCCTGGGTGGCAGGACTCAGGATGGGAGGGAAGGCCCTGGCCTCCCAGCGCTCCTGGGAGGGAGGCAGAGAATGAATGGCCTTGGCCACAGGCTGAGGGCAGTGCTGGGAGCCCGGGACCAGCTGTGCTGGGCTGTGTGGAGCCTGTTTGGCAGAGACCAGAGCCCTTTGAAGGCTTTTGTGGCTGCTCCTTCCTCACTCCCTCCTCCAGCCCTTTCACTCTCAGCCCAAACAGGAAACCCTGGGCCCCCTGTCCCTCCAGGCAGCTTGGGGGTACAGAGGAATTCTTTCGGGGATACGGGGATATGCTGGGGCAGTCCTGGAGGCCTGGGTGGACTGGGGTATCAGGAAGGCAGATCTGCAAAAGGACCTGACTTCATTCCCACTTCCTTGTGATTTCAGTGAAGCCTCTGAGCCATGCTAGGCTACATGGTGGCTGCTGACTTTTAAATCCCGCCTCTGGTCAGCATGGCTCAGTGGTTGGGCCTTGACCTAGGAACCAGGATGTGTTGGTTCAATTTCGGGTGAGGGCACATGCCTGGGTTGAGGGCCTGATCCCCAGTGTGGGGTGTGCAGGAGGCAACCAGTCAATGATTTTTCTCTCACCTTTGATGTTTCTATAATATATCGCTCTTCCTCTCCTTTCCTCTCTGAAATCAATATAAACCATATTTTAAAAATTCCACTCCACGTTTGTGTGGGCTTGGAGCGCCTTGCCAGCCACATTCCTGCTTCAGGAAGCGCTCTGAGCTCATTTACCCCCAGGGAGCAGGCCCAGAGTCCATCTCGCTCGCCTGGTGACGGCCCCTCCTCAGACCAGTCTAACGGAGCCTGTCCTAGTTGTGCAGCCTCTCCTGCAGAACATTCTAGACCAGGAGGGTCAGAATGGGGTGTCTCTGGGCCCCGATAGTGGATGGAGGCACGGGGCCAGTTCAGCTTATATTTATTTATTTATTTATTTATTTATTTATTTATTTTTTTTTTTTTTCAGAGAGGAAGAGAGAGGGATAGAGAGTTAGAAACATCGGTGAGAGAGAAGCATCCATCACCTGCCTCCTGCACACCCCCTACTGGGTATGTACCCAAAACCAAGTACATGCCCTTGACCGGAATCGAACCAGGGACCTTTCAGTCCCCAAGCCGACGCTCTATCCATTGAGCCAAACTGGTCTCAACGCAAACCTGAGACCTTTCAGTCCACAGGCTGATGCTCTATCCACTGAGCCAAACCGGTTTTGGCTCAGCTTGTCTTTTCCCTTGGTTTATTTGGCGCGTCTGGGACCGTGCTGTGAAATTGGTTACAGGTACCACCAGTTGTGTCAGAGTTTAGATACTAAAGACTCACCCAGCACTTCCCGTTAAAGGGTTCTCCTAGCCCTTCAGTTTTCAGGCGAGGACATGAACCCGCAGGGAGGGGGCCGGGTTGGGAGTGAGAGGAGTGTTTGCTCCATGGCACTGTTGAGTGACTGCTGCATGCCAGACAGTGGCAGACAGTGGGCACTGGCCGGTCTGCCTGGTGTGGAGCCTGGGCTCCTGCCTTGAGACCGTGGTGGCGTCAGCATCGATGCCTGCGCCCCCCAAGCAGGGGCATCAGCAAAGCCCTCTCGGGGGTTGTCCCAACTGGAGAGAGTGTCACGCCAGCAAGTGGTGTGGAGGCCAGGGACTCGGAAGGAAGTCTTACAATGCACAGGGCACCACACCCCTCAGCAAAGAATCTGCCAGCCCAAAATGTCCGCAGCGGAAAGGCTGAGAAACCTGCACTAGGCAGAGCAAGGGGTCCTGAGGTTCTCGTGGGGTGTCCAAGAAAGGCTTATTTTTTATGCCAGCTAACACAGTCCAGACAAAGAACTTCTGTCCTCACACAATATCCCCTGCACGTAACACGTGCTCTCAGGGTGATGTTAAGCAGTGAGAGTGGACAGTTGAGTTCTCCAGCAGCGGTGGTCGTGGTCATAGCTGGAACTATGCTAGTCCATTCCTTGAATCCCCTCAGGGTCAGGCCTGAGGACAGAGTGAATACACAAACCCTGGTCTGGTCTCAGGTGCTTCCTGTTCTGTGGTGGTGACAGTTGGGGTGATGGTGGTGGTGGTAATGGTGGTCGTGGTGGTAATTATGGTCAGACATTAAGGAAACAACAATGGCAACCGCATGTGCCAATTGCTCTGGCTGGGGGAGCAGACAAAGAGGCAGGCACAGACCCAGGCTGTGGGAGAGGCAGGGGAGGCACCTAAGGAGAAACACAGACTGCCACCAGGTGGGGTGTGTAAGAGGGGGCCCAGTTGCTGCCAGTTGCTGGGGTAGCTGGAACTCGGGGTGTGAGTGGGCAGGAGACGGAGCTGGAGGGGTGTGCAGGACGTGCTCCATCTGGGAGGGTCCCCTGTTATGCTAAGGCATTCGGGTTTTGTCCTGGAGACAAAAAGGGCTTTTAAAGAGGGGGTGATATAGTCAGACTTGCAAAAGAGTAAAAGGGAGCCACCTTGTGCTAGGGAGTGATACAATAGGAAGGTCAAATAAAATATAGCTGCAGTCATCCAGGCAGGGAAGTGTGTCCTGAACAAAGGCAATGGGCTGGGGTGAAGGCAGGAGGAGGAGGAGGCCAGAGAAGAAAGGGCTAAAAGCTATATATAGGTCTTGGCGTTAATGTAGTAGGCTGGGATGGACTGAGGGGGAGGGTAGAGCCTGGGTGGTTAATAATGATTCTGATAAAAGTGCTGGAATATGAAACTACCTTGGGAGGTGAGGGCGGCAGCAGCATGCCCAAACCTCAGGGCTGTCTCTTCAGACTGCCAGGTGTGCCTACGCCATCATCATCATGGCCATTTACTGGTGCACGGAAGTCATCCCTCTGGCCGTCACTGCCCTCTTGCCTGTCTTGCTTTTCCCACTCCTCAAGGTTCTGGACTCCAAGAAGGTGAGCGACTCCGAGGATCCTGGGGGCTTCGTGCTTCTTCCCTGGGCTCCTTCCCAGAGCCTCGCTCTGAGCAGTGTAGACCCCAGGGGACCAGAGATGCTTCCTGTGGGTTCCTTTTGGCATGGAGACATACCACTTGACCCTGCATCCCACTCCCAACTGACCCTCACATCAATATCTGATCTGCTCTCCTGTCTCTGGGGACTTGGGTGGGCCTGGGCCAAGCAATGTTTGGCCAGGAGGCAGCCCTGATGGGGCCTCCATGCCACCACCTTCCAGGTGTGTATCCAGTACATGAAGGACACTAACATGCTGTTCGTGGGAGGCCTCATCGTGGCTGTGGCCGTGCAGCGCTGGAACCTGCACAAGAGAATCGCTCTGCGAATACTCCTCTGGTTGGGGACCAATCCTGCACGGTAACTAAGCCTTTTCTTCTGGCTCTGTGGGCCCCAGGGCTGGGAGGAGCTGTGGCAACAGCCCAGGTCACCCACTGGCAAGGGTTACCCATGGGCTTACCTGGACTTGGCAGGCAGGTGGACCCCTGGGTGGGGTATGTGACAATCTCAGCTGAGGACACCAGATGCGTGGGCAATGGTGGGGCCTGTGGTGAGTGGCAGGATGTAAGGGATCTCTGAATCCGGAGGAGACTGGTCAGCAAGGGCCCCTGCATGTAAAGAGGGCTTCCTGGGGGAGGGGCTGCAGGGTTCCACAGGTAGCAAGGTGGGTGGAGGCTGGAGCCAGCCAGGCCTGATAGAGCATTTGTGGGGAAAGCGGCCAGAGGTGGCTCAAGGAGGAGCAGAAAGGTCATCCTTCCAGAGCTCACACCCACTAAGCTAGCCTCTATAGAGAAGCTTCTTACCTCATCTTCCCCATGTCACTCACAACCTCAGCTTCTACCCTCTCTCCAAGATCTCCCCTCCAACCACAGGCAGCTTCCAACCAATCCATGGAGTTGACATCCTCAGATCGCCCTGGTTCTGAGCATCTGCAGCGCCCAGGCATGACTATGGGAGCTCATTTATCTCCTCACTTGTCTCTCTCCACAATTCTGAGACTTGGGTTTTATTCCTCAACCCAGCTTCCATAGATGAGGCATTTGAGAGAGAGAAGGGTGAAATGCTGAGAAATGAGGCCTTGGCCCCTGAGTTCAGCTCTAGTAGAGACGCCAGGATGCAATTCTCTTTTGAGGCAACGTGCTCCCTAAATGACGACGTGCCCAGCCCAGCCCCGGGGAGGCAGCAGTTGGTTACTTCACAGCAAATGCCTTCAGAGATGTCCATGTGTCAGGGACTGTGCCGGCCCCGCGCACACAGAACGTGGTGCATCCCCAGGAGTTGCTGCCTAGCTCCCTTGGCACCTCAGGCTCCATTGAGCAGAAAGCTTTGCGCCTTTCTGGTCTTTGTTACCCTACGTGGTATCGATCCCCTCCAGTGATTAGTCTACAGGGTCAAATAAAAAAACATTGCATTTTCTGGAAGAATGAGACCTCGGTGGCCTCAGAATTCTTGCTCTCAGGATCCTTGGATTGGCCAGACTTCCTCCACCAGCAGGTGGCCCTCATTCTGAGAGAGCTGAAGGACTTTGGTTCCAAATCCAGAAGTTCATGCAGGCTTCTCTGCTCCTTCCTGTCACTGGGCTTCTCCTCTGAGCTTGGTTTCCAGCTCCATGGCACTTGCCTGGCCTGGGTAGAGCTTTATGTTGAGGCCATGGTGTCTTGAAGCATCAAGTCAAAGCCTCAAACATGAAAACTCTGCTCCTCCTACCAGCCTGGACCCAAGCCTGTGTTCTGTGGGTCTGTGAGATCAGCCTGCATGGACACGGGCTTGGGCCTTGCCTTAGTGCAGTGCAGCACCTAGATCTCTTCTTCAGGAAAGTTAGTGACCCTGAGGAGAGGCCTGGCTGCAGAGGGGCATGGAGAGCGAGAACGGTTTTGTTTCATCCAGCCCTCCCTGAGCTCCTTCTGTTCCTGGCCTTGTGCTGAGTCTGTGGAAGCCATGGAGAAGAATCAGGCCCTTCCCAACCCTGCTCACCACCAAGAGAAGAGCAGACATGGGCACGGGTCCTCCAAATCCAGCCACTGATGAGTGTTGGTGGGGCTGGAGGAGGTTGTCCGCCCTGCCCGGTGGACACTGGGAGGAAGGCTACAGAGGAGGGACTTTGATTAGAAGAACCATGAGGGGTATTCTAGGCAGATGGCAGAGGTGAGACAGCGGTGAAAGGACAGGTGTTATGAATGAAGGGAACATGTTTTCTGAGTACTGTTTGATCTGGTCCATTGCAGAGTGGAGGGAGTACAAGGTGTGTGTGCAGAGAGAGGCAGTGGGGCGGTCAGCCATGAATGAGGTCCCACTTTCCCAGGCTCACCCTACCCCTCAAGGCTAACTCTATTATGAGAGGAGAAGCAGGGTCCAGGGTGGGTGGGAATCTTCTAGATAGAAGTGGGTGGAGTATTAGGGCTGCTTGCCCATAGGGCTGTCCAGCACACCCTTAGGACACACTAGGGCCAACCTCCACCCTGGGTTGACACCCTCTGGATGCCTGTGCTGCCCCTTCTGGATAGGAGCTCCTCAGAACCACGACTGGGTCTGAGCAAGGCCTCTTGGTGCCCCCTGCCCCTCCCCTATAGCCAGTAGGGAAGACATCAGTAATGTCTACGGGGAGAGGTAGGAGGAAAGGGAAGGAGGCAGAAGGAAGGAAAGGAGGAAGAAAGGACAGGAGGAAGAGGGAGGGACTCCCTCCTGGACTACCCAGACTTGAACTGGCATCAGCACCTTGGCCTTGACCCCTGGCATCCCTGCAGGGGGACCTAACCCTTGTTGCTCCCTGAGGGCTTGGGGCAGTGGGGATGGGGATCCTGTGCTTCCCTTCCTGCTCCTCCTCTGCAGGCTGATGCTGGGCTTCATGGGCGCCACCGCCTTCCTCTCCATGTGGATCAGCAACACAGCCACCACAGCCATGATGATGCCCATTGTGGAGGCCGTGCTGCAGCAGATGCAGGACGACAGGAGCAAAGTCAAAAAAGGCAGCAAAGGCAACATGGGGTCCATGCAGCCTTCAGCAAAAAGCACTTCTGGTGAGCCATCAGGTGAGCTCCTGGCCAGGTGCTGCTGGGGTCCCCAATATCAGGCAACCCCCACCCCTCTGTTTCCAAAAACTTTGGCCACCTCTCTGCCTCCTGGAGCCCACATTTAAACAGGCATACAGAGAAATACTTAGAAACTGCTGTTTTTGTAACCTTTGGTGATGTAGTTATTGCAAGAAAGTTAAATTCATTAGTATTGCTTATAGCAAGGTTCAACCTTTGGTTCCTTTAATCACAGAAATCAATAGCTGTTCATTGGATTATGCATTTGAGCATCTTTTGAGCACTCACTGGGGGGCCCTCACCCATTTCTCTTCCTACTCATCCTCGCGGAGGCCTCCCTTGCACAGGTCGCACCTCCCATCTGTTCTCTGCTCGCACAGGCATTGGGGTGGCCTTCCCATGCTGCTTTCCACCAGGCACTTCACTCAGGGAACTCAGATGACACCTGATTCATTCTCTGCCTTGTTTGTGCCCCATCCCCAGGGCCCAGCACATGGGAACTCAGGGCCCTTGCTATGGCCTGATTGCCAGATCCTGGGGCAGGTCCTGGGGCTGCTGAGATGAAGTAGGCACACCCTATTTCCAACTCAAGGAGCCGGGTGGGGTGGGGAAATGAGGCCCCTCACACAGTTCCTCTGACTTGGGGGAAGCCATGGGATGCCATCAGCCAGACACTAAAGGAGCTCAGACAAGGGGGAGGATTGCTAGGAGGCACGGACATCTAAGATGGATTTAGACACCCCTCTGGATGAAGGGACCAGCCAGAGCATAGGCTAGGAAGCAGAGAAGAAGGGCGTGTGTCTAAAGTGGCTGCATTTGCCCTGGGCATGGAGGAGCCTGGGGAAGCAGTGGGAAGTGACAGAGAAAGCAGGCAGGGAGGATGACACGGTTGGGTTGTGGGTTGAGAGGACCCGGGGAGGGAGCCTGCAGAGCCAGCACATCCCCACCTCAGGTCAGCAGCAGAGCTAGGAGCTGGAGCTGAGCCACGGCCCCAGGGCTGGCTCTGCTTACGAAGGTGTGTCACTACAGGGAGCCAAGTGATTTCTGAAGGCGCTGCTATGGAGCCGCAGGAGAATCGTGCCTGGAAGAGCATGTGCAAGGCCATGACACTGTGCGTGTGCTACTCGGCCAGCATCGGAGGCACTGCCACCCTGACCGGGACAGGACCCAACGTGGTGCTCTTGGGCCAGATGCAGACGTGAGTCACTGGCCATGCCTTCTGGGGACAATGTCTTGGGCCCTGGGTTGGAGGGACTCAACCTCCTCTCCCATCTCCTCAGCTGGGCTTTAGAGCGGGGGTCTGGCAGGGGTGGGAGGCTGGGCCCCCATCAGCCTCTGCTGCACCTGCTCAGAACTTTTCAGGGTGGGAGCTGATGACAGTCTTCACGCCGGGCTGCTTTCTCTCTTGGGTGCAGTATTTTCACTCAGACACGTCATGTTATTGAACTCTGAACTAAAGTCATGGGAAGAGACATCATTTTAGATACTGGGTCCTTGTTTACAATTTGCTGAAATAGACACCCTTTAGATGCTCCCCTCAAAACTGGCTCACCAACCTTGGCCATGAACGGTAATGGCCCTATGATATTAGGGATCTTGAGTTGCAATAAAGAGTTAGGGGTCAGGCCGAAACCTGTTTGGCTCAGTGGATAGAGCGTCGGCCTGCAGATTGAAAGGCCCTGGGTTTGATTCCGGTCAAGGGCGTGTACCCTGGTTGCGGGCACACCCCCAGTAGGGAAGTACAAGAGGCAGCTGATCGATATTTCTCCCTCATCGATGTTTCTAACTCTCTATCCGTCTCTCTCTTCCTCTCTGTAAAAAAAACCAATAAAATATATATTTTTAAAAAAAGAGTTAGGGGTCAGGCCATTCATTGCCTCATCAGCTCATTCACTACAGTTCCTCTCATTGCCCTTGAGTGGCCTGTGCCCTTGTGAGGCCCCAGGTGGACCACAGTGGTGGTCTGTAACTTTCCTTGGCCACAAGGGGCACAGGTCTTAAGGTCCCAGTTGTGTGCTGGCCTTGTGCTGTGTGGGGCTGGAATCACAGAAGTGGGGGAGACCTGGGCTCTGTCTGTGGGATACTCATGGTCTGCTGAGGTAGCGGATGCCTGGTGAGTTCTAGGCAGGACGTGTAAATGCATGAAGGAAAGTACAGACGCAGTGAGCACAGAAAAGGAGAGAAGTATGACGTGCCCATCCTGTGCAGACAAGACAGGTGGGGTGGGAGGGCAGCTAGGAGGTGGGAGGGCAGGCATGGAGCCTGGCCAAGCAGACTCTTGAGGTTCACAAGCAGACTCTTCTGATCTTGTGATGTTTTCTGTAATGATAGCCTCGGGCTCTCCCTGGAGTTCCTGCTGAGTGCAGAGAGCTCTGTGTCTACTTTGACACCCTTGGACTGAAGTGAGCAAGTCTGGGGATGGGAGGCAGAGCCTGGAGGGAAAGAGACCCTCCTCCAGTCCCCAGAACCCTGTCTGGTCCCACTGGGGGAGGCCTTTGAGATTGTTTTCCTCAGGGGGGTCTTCCCTGGCAGAAGCCCACAGGATGAGGTTCTGGGGCTTCTGTGGACCTCCTGATGCTATTGACCAAAGTACGTGTGTACAAAGTTGTCTTTTTCTGGATGGAATGGCTGTGACTTACATGAGCTTCTCAACAGTGTCTGGACCCCCATGAGGGACAGTTGGTCAACCCTCTGGCTTGTATTGGGCATGGCTATGTTCTGGGGCCACAATGATTAGGGTAATACTGGGCGGTGGGCATGGATGGCCGGACCTCAGGAGGATGAGACTCTGTTCCAGACCACCTCTCAGGGTCCAGCTACTGGTCATCTTGTATCCACCTTGCTCTGAGACTTGTATCCATCTTGACCTGCTTGCTCTGAGACTCAGCATCTGCTAGAGGTGTGGTCCATGTTTCTCTCTCCAGATTATTTCCTGATAGCAAAGACATCGTGAACTTTGCTTCCTGGTTTGAATTTGCCTTCCCAAACATGGTGATCATGCTGCTGCTTGCCTGGTTGTGGCTCAGGTGTATGTTTTTGAGGTTCAGGTAAGTTTGAACTGCTTCCCGAATAGAGTCTAACCTGCCATGCCCTTGCAGAAGAACCGATAGTGGAATCCATAGAGTTCTTCCTGCCTGGCTCCATTTCCACAGCCCATCATCTGCTAGTCTGCCCTCTCATTTTGGCCACCTCAGGCTGCTCACTGTGCCTTTGCACATGCTGTTCCCTCTTTCTGGAATGAATGCCATTCCCTATCTTCCCACCTTTCAATCTTCTTAGGCTTCAAGGCCAGTTCAAATGCTGCTTCTTTAGGCACACGTTTCCTGACTTTCCCCACCTCATTTCGTTGTGAAAGAATCCCCGCCTGCTCCTCTGGGCTTCCCTGGGCACACCATGGCCTTGACCCTCGATACCTATAGACATGTTCCAGTGCTGTCTCTGATCCCTGACCCCTGACCTGAGTTCCTTTGGGGCCTGTGGTAAGTCCTCTCTGTCCCCTGCTCCCAGCCAGGGATAAAGGGTGCCATCAACGTGAGTCAAAGCAATTAAAGGGGATCTTGTCCCCGTGAGCAAATCGATACTCTGGACCAACTCCCACTTGGCCGTATGTGTCCATTGGGTCGGGCCACAGCACACCACCTGCCCGTGTCCAGACTCTTCCTGAACACGTTCCCAGTAGCATGCGAGTTCTGGGAAGTTTACCTTTCTCTTCACTGTACACCCCAACCCAAGTTCACCAAGAGTCAACCTTGACAGCAGCTAGACTTTGGACAGAAACCCTGGTGTGTGGCTGACAAATACCTTAAAAACACTGGGTCCCCTTAGGGTTTTAAAAGACACACATCTATCTATGGAGCTAAGGGGACCCTCTCACAGGCATATGGGAAGTGCTTAGCTGAGAGCGGTGTGCTCCTCTTAAATCACAGGCAGCTAGAGCCAAAGAGAAGGGGCTATCTGGTCACAGGGAGGAGACCTCAGAGCCGAGAGGCAAACGTGCCCCCAAACTCAGGGAGTTAACAGGCGGAAAATGAGATTTCTGTAAGTTTTCTACTGAAGGAGGAACTTGTTTGGAAACTGCAGTTAAAAGAAATCTCTCTCTATAATCAAAGTAGTCATAGTAATGACCTAATAATCCTCACAGGCCACCGGTGTGCAGGCCTCACATGAGAGGGAAGCTGCTCCATGGGCTCTTGGGGTTCAGCCTGGCTTTGAGGGAAGCTCTTTGCCCTGCTTTTCACACCTGCTTCAGGACCAGTGGGTCCCAGGAGATGTGCCCCACGGTGTCGCAGGCTGCAGGTGGTGTCCCTGCCTCTAATGGGGCCATAGGGATAATAATGACCAACATCTGTTGAGTTGCAGACACAACTTTAATATATTAATTAATCTTCACATCAACCTGGGAGGTGGGTGATCTTATTATTCCCAGTTTATAAGTAAGGAACTGAGGCATGGAGAGGGAAAAGGCTGCTCAGGGCTGTGTCACTTGGAAACTGTGGGACTGAGCTTTGAACACAAGCAGTTTGGCTCTAGAGCCAGTGCCCACACCCCTACAACCTTGTTTCAGTCAGTTCTGACTGCCATAGCAATGTGCCACAGACTGGGCGCTCCACTGCAGACATTCATTTTCCACAGTTCTGGGGGCTGCAAGTTCCAGATGAAGGTGCCAGCCGATTTGGTTCCTCCTGAGAACCCTCTTCCTGGCTTGCACATGGGAGACTTGCCTCCTGGACCACCTCACCACAGGCAGCACCTATCTCAGCTGTGGAACCATCTCTACTGGCCTTCACTTGGCTCTCTTATCTGGTTGGTCCTGGAGAGCAATGTCAGGGCCATTGCCTTTGGGCTAATCCAGGAAAACTATCTTTTTGGGTTTGTGGGTGAGTTCCCTGTCCACTTCCAGCCAAGGGGGCTCCCACCCTCTCCCTCTTCACCCACCCCAGAACTACCCAGGACTTACACCAAACTTTCCTAACCAGGCGACCCCTGGATTAGGCACAAGGGCTTTCTGGGCCTCTGCCACAGCACAGGCACTTGGGACTCACAGGTCCCTTCACCTCTCCTTGTTGCTGTACTGGTTCACCCGCATCATCTGAAGGCCATCCCACTGTAGAAGGACACGTTGTACCCGTCCCACCTCTTGGGCTCCCCCTGGCAAACTGGGTCCAGTTGCCTGTATCTCGTGCCAGCCCAGTGATCACCAGACAGGGTTAACCCATGATGAGGGTGAAACTGCTCAGCATACGAGGGTCCCGAAGGCTTGCTGGCACTGTAGTGGGGATCCAGTGTCGGACAACTGCACATGCAGTGTAGCCCCCAGAGTCTATGTTCATGTGGACTGCCCCCAGCATCAGGCATGGGGGCAATGGAAGCTGGGAGCAGGAGTCAGCCCTTGTCCTGGAAACCTGGAGACTCTGGCCCACCCCGGAGCATCAAGGATGACATGTGGCAGCAGGCTGATTCTTGGTCAAACAGACTCTCCCAAGCCAAGGGGGCGAGAGGCTCCCTCCACACCAGCAGTCATCTACCTGCTGGATGATCTAAGGGCTGTTCCCGGCAGGTGACTCTCAGGACACCCAGGCTTGGCCCTGGTCCAGCACAGAGACCCCACAGGCTGTGCAGATAGGACACCCCATCACTGCCTCCTTCTTTCCCAGACCCTGGGCATCGCTGTGTCCTGACCTTCCTTGATCTGTGTTCCTGGCATGCACCCTCATCACATCGCCCCCACAGGCAGGTCACATCCAGCCTTGGTTTCAGAAATGGGCATCTCGACACCAGTTCCACCACCCTCTGGCACCCCTCTCCCCCATGAAGTCTGACTTAGGGCCCAGGAAGGTCGCCCACAGGAAGGGCTACCCAGGGACAGTCCTCTTGGCCCGCCCACCACCTTCAGGCTGATGCGCTGGAACATGTGCCTGGAGAATGCCCCTGGGCCTGGATCCTGGGCCCCAGTGGCCCCATTTTGCCCCTCCCTAAGGCTAACATACTCTATACCTCTCCCAAGAATCTCTCCTTTTTTTCCTGTATCCTCATGCCAGCAGCCCCTAGGGGAGGTCCTGCAGGGAATCCTGGGAGGCCATGTTAGCCAGTGGGCACTGGTGCCTAAGGAACCCATCCAAGATCAGGGCTGGGCTGGCTTTCTTCCTGCCATTGCTATGCCTACTGCCTGCCTGTCTCCTGGGTTGGGATCCTTTACTTCCAGCTCCACGGGATGCAAGCACCCACCCTCCTCCTGCCTGGCCCAGTCTGCTTGTTCTTGGTGTCCACTCGAGCCACCTGATGATGGGGGCCGACATCCTGGTACCACTGAAGGCATCCCCAGGCCACCGTGGGAGAAGAACGATTTAGGGAGCATGCGAGGAAGTCTTGGCTCCACCCTGTGTTGCTCCAGAACTTCTCATGGCCATTTCCCAGGTGGCAGATGACAGGAGCAGCTGGTTTCCAGGCAACTGGGCACCTGCCAGGTCCCCAGTGCCAGTGGTGGCTTCATTTCTGCTTATTTTTGCCTCTGATGATCCTGCCCAACCCCCTCCCCCCTCCTCATTCTGCTTAACCTCCCACCCTCTTGACCATCCTCTCCTTTCCTGTCTCCATTGCCCCTGAGACCTGGCCCAGACTGGACACCTCACCTGTGTCATCTCAGACCTCCTCTGGGAGCATCTTCCAGTTCTGGGCATGTGCTAAGCACACATAACAGGTCCTGGGAGGTAGGGTGGGCAGGTGAGAGAGATGGAGTGGGGAAGGAATGTACTCAAGTACCCTCCACCCCAGACATTAGGCAGCACCATAATAGGCCTTTCTGCCATGTTCTATTGCCCAACATTCAGGCTTCCATCTGACCAGCCCCTGAGCCAACCAGTCTGTTCTGCTTTTCTCTTATCTTTGCCTCCTCTAGTTCTAAAAAGGGCTTCAGTAAGGAGAAAAGGGTTAGTGAGAAGGCCACGTATGAGATACTGAAGGAGGAATACAGGAATCTGGGACCCTTCTCCTTCGCCGAGGTCAACATCACGCTCTGTTTCTTCCTGCTGGTCTTCCTGTGGTTCTCCCGGGACCCTGGCTTCATACCCGGCTGGGCGTCGATCACCTGGGTGGAGGGCAAGACAAAGTAAGTATTGGTTTGGCAGCACCTGCCATGTCCTCTCTTGTTCTGTAGTTGAGTTCTGGAGCACTCAGTTTTTCCTCATCAGTCTTTAGGACAAGCCCACAGATACAGTATGTCCCTGTAGTCCCTTCTTTCCCAACAGGCTGAACAGAAAGTCCTTGGCCAGGCTGGTGGCTAGAGCTGTGATTGAGGGACACTTGTTGGGTTAGAGTGGGGCTTCCAGAGATCTAGTTTCCAAATCTCTCCTCCATCATCTTTTCCCCTCTCATCCAGTGTTCAGGCACTTCTTTAGGCAGAGACTTGTAAAAGGGGGGTATATGTAGTTTCTCTTCTGACTAAGATATTATGTGGTCAGATGGAAGAAAGGCTGAGACACATACATATCTTAGAAAAGGCAGGAGATATGGGTCGAGAGGTAGCTGCCTATTACTGCTGTTTTCATTTGGAAGGTCTATTGGTGATCACCTGGTGAACCCAGATTTCTAGAGAATCTGGCCAAGAGGTCATGATGTCTACCCATGACAATACAGGAAGTGAGAGTGAAGTGAGCTGCTCAGAGTTGCCCAGTGTTGGTAGCAGAGCCAGGCCAAGGATGAGGGATCTTGGTTTCCAGCCAGAATTCAGTCTACCCCTGACCTTAGCCTTTAGGGTGTCAGTTTGCAGGAGCACATAGACGAGGCACAGGTTTTTGGCATGGCTTCCTGCAGCTGAGTTGGCTCATCCATGTGCTCTCCCCATCTAGGTATGTCACCGACGCCACTGTGGCCATCTTTGTGGCTTTGTTGCTATTCATTGTGCCTTCACGGAAGCCCAAGTTCAACTTCTCCAGCCAGACTGAGGAAGGTAATGCCTCTATCTTGGCCTCGCATTCATCAGGGTTGGGGGCCTGGTAGCAAAGGCTCTCCATGGAAGTCCCTGGGCTTAGGAGGGAGAAAAGCCCACACCACCAAAGAGGACTGGCAAGATTGCCGAGTCTGGGCAGAGGGCATTTTTCAAGCCCTCCCTGGGTATTGTTTAGTGCAAAATCTCTTTTGCTTTTTAAACATTTGAAATCATATTAATATTACATCAGGAACAGAAAAATGTTTTGAATTTCCCATAACACCATCAGTATTATTTTGTTTTCTCTCTTCTTACCAGTTTTTACTAATATACATGTATATTATAAGACTATACTCAAAACACACCATTTGAATCCTGTTACTTTGTTGTTTCTGTTTTCAAGTTTTTGACTGTGTTATTCTATAGACATTTCCTGCTCTTGCCCGAGTCTTCAAACTTATCTTCCCTAATAATGCATTGTATTGAGTCAAGGGGCTATAACCATTCTCCCATTATGGGACATTTTGTGTTCATGTGTATAGCTTTTTTTTTTTTTCTTTTTAAACGAATAACATCCCATCTATTTTACTTGCTAATCCTCACCTGAGGTTATTTTTCCATTGAATTTTAGGGAGAGTGGAGAGAGAGGGAGAGATAGAGAGAAACATCGATGTGAGAGAGACATATTGACTGGTTTCCTCCTGCATGCACCTGGACCAGGGCCTGGGAACCTGCAACCAAGGTACGTGCCCTTGACTGGAATCAAACCCGGAACTTTTCAGTCCTTGGGCCGATGCTCTATCCACTGAGCAAAACCAGCTAGGGCATATAGCTTATTCTTTGAAGGTGTTTCTTCTTCAGGATAAATTCCTAGGAGTGATATCAAGTTGCTTTTCAAAAAGATTATATCAATTTATGTATTTATTATTATTAAATATATTTTTTTTAATTTCAGAGAGGAAGGGAGAGGGAGAGAATGATAGAAACATCAATGATGAGAGAGAATCATTGATCTACTGCCTCCTGCTTGCCTCCTACTTGCCTCCTACTGGGGATCGAGCCCACAACTCAGGCATGTACCCTTGACTGGAATTGAACCTGGAACCCTTTAGTCCCCAGGTCAATGCTCTATCCTCTGAGCCAAACCAGCAAGATATAAATTTATAATGATACCAAAGAGTGTATGAAAGTTCTGCCATCTTTTCACCAGCAATGGGTGCAGTAATTATTGTAAAATTTAGTTAATTTGTAGGTATGAGATGGTACTCATTGTCTGTACAGGCTTTTATTCCCCTAATCAGATGTCGTGGACTTCATCAAGCTGCTCTGGGTTGTGTATATGTGATGTCCTTGTTTCTTCTCAGAATGGAAGGCTCCATTTTATCCACCTGCACTGCTGGAGTGGAAGGCGACCCAGGAGAAAATTCCCTGGGGCATTGTGCTGCTTCTGGGCGGCGGATTTGCTCTGGCTGAAGGATGCGAGGTAACTTCCCCATCTGTGGGCTGCCCGGGGTGCCATTCTTTTACCAAAAGAGTGGCTAACAAACTGCTCCACCCCTGCACCCCTGCACCCCTGCATTCTGGGCTGGTTCTGTGCCAGTCCTCTCCACTAACTCCACATTTCTCAAGAATAGGGACTCTATCCGGTTATCTTGGAACCCTGGGCCATGAGTAGTGCCTAGGCTAGAGAAACACCCTTTGAGTGATTGCAGAAATAGTGAATATAGGTGACTCTGAGTTTGGGATGTGGCAATAAGGGTTTTCTCTGATTTCTTCTGGGTAAACTCTCCTTTCAAGTCCTTGTAGATATCTCCACCCTTACCTTTGGTTCTTCCACTCCCTGAACTCTCTGTTAATATGGCTGCCAGTTTAAAATTTTCTCTAGCTAAGTGTATAGCGGTGTAGAAGGAGAGGAACAGCCTTTGGGAAAAACCACCTCAAAAATGTAACTTTCTTACCTCTCCCCCTTCCATAATAGGGAAGAAGTGAGCCAGAGAGAGTGGTGAGCCAGCTATCCTCCATTCTTCATCCATCCATGCATCTGTCCATCTGTCCATTCACCCAGGAATAGAATGTGATAGATAGACTGGGACTAACTTGTTATTCTGTTTCCTCAGCATCTGGAACAGAGCCTGGTGCATGTCAGGTGCATCAGTATTTTTGGATGAACAAATCCATCCATCTAATCACTTCTCTATCCAGCCATCAATCCACCTAGCATTCATTCATTTCACCAAACATTTCTATTATGGCCCTATTAGTCCAGGCATGGGACTTACAGAGGAGATTGAAATAGGGCCCTGTTCACGGACCATCACAGACTACGGAGGAGCTCAAATATGGAAGAGCATTTCGTGAAAAGTGACACTTTGGTGAAGGAATAAGTGTGTGGTACCTAGCTGAGGATCAGAAGATGAGGCTGCTGAGGCTCCCAGAAGCCACTCCATGAGGGTCTTGAATTGAAGCCAGGGAGTGTGGACTTAATTCTGCAGGGACTGAATTCAGGGGGCAGCCATTGAAGGGTTGAGGCCAGAGAGCAACTTCATCAGAACTCCAATTGGGGAAAATCACTTTGACATCCGGAGCAGAAGCCTGGACAGGGCCGGGTAGAGGGAGACCAGTAGACACTCTATAGCTTTCATCCAATTCAGCTTCAATACTGGACTCCATGGACCATTCTCTCCTTGCAACTTCCTCTTCTTTTGGTCGCAAGATGCCAATCTCTCCTGGTTTCCTTCTAACTCTGACTATTCCTGCTCAGGCTTCTTTACTGACTTTTCCTCTGTTCTCCCTTAAATATGAATGTTCCTCCAAGCTCTGTCCTTGGTAGCTTCTCTGTTCTTTTTTCATTCTCTCCCCTGGACAATCTCCTCTCAGCCCAAAGCACCAAATCCAGATCCTAATCCCTATCTCAGGTTTCTCTCCTGAACTTCAAGGACTGTGGGAGACTGAGAGGAAACAATGGACATGAAATGTTTTGGGTGGCTTGGTGACTAATTGGGTGGAAGAAATGAGGGGGACAGAGATCCCCAGGATGACCCCTGGTCTCCTAGATTGGACAGCAGGTAGATGGTGAATCCATGCACCAAGCTGGGGAGCCCGGGGGAGCCGTAGACTCTGAGTAGAGAGGATGAATGCTGGTTGGGGCATGTTGAGTCTGACACGTTCATGGACATCTGGGTGGAAATTTCTAGGAGCATGGATGTTGACATCTGGGTAGTAGACAAACTGGGCTAGAAATACAGAGTTTAGACACAGCAGAATAAGGATGAAGACTGAAATTGTGGGCATGGATGAGCTCACCTGTGGAATGTATGCAGAGAGAACAGGAAGGAGGAGAGAGGCTGAGTGCCTAGAGAAAGATCAGGGTCTCTTCTGGCCCTGGAGGAACTTTAGCCATTAGCCCTTCAGTGACTGCCCTCGTGGTGCTTTCCAGGTCTCAGGGCTGTCTGAATGGATGGGGAAGCAGATGGAGCCCTTGCAGGTTCTGCCCCCAGCAGCCATCTCGTTGGTCTTGTCCGTGCTCATTGCTGTGTTCACGGAGTGTACAAGCAACGTGGCCATTGCCAGCCTCTTCCTGCCCATCTTTGCCTCCATGGTAAGTAACCCTGCTGGGGGGTGGGCATCCTCAGCTATTATTTCATAAGTAGCTACCCATGCATAACTATGTCCTAAGTTCTTAGGGAGGCCGTGAAATCAGGGGCCAGAGCCCAACCAGGCTTTAAGACCTGGATCTGATAGGATTTGTGTGCCTTTGATGACCCTGAGCCTGCCCTCAATCCTTTGCTGGTTCTTTTTTTGTATCCCCCATACTGGCCAAAGTGCTAACCATAGTGCCAAGGAGGACTGGACCAATGCCATGAGGGAATGATAGAGGGTCTCTGAGAATGTAGCACAGGTGTGCAGGAGGACTGCAGAGCAAGGGGACAGCACTGGCTAGGATCCGCCAGGAGGAGGTCTTGGGGAAGGTGGGGCTTGGGGATGGTTTGGGGGAGAGGAAATTCTGGAAGGTGGAGAGTCCAAAGAAAGGAAGCGAGTGCATGAGTAAAGACCCCCAGAAGCCTTGCATTGAGCCCCGGGATCAGGAATCAGTGCACTGTGGTCAAGCATGTTACTGAGCTGGGACTTAGAAGAAAGCAGAGCCAATAGGAAAATCAGCTGTGATCTTTTTGTGCATTTGCTGCTGTCACTCATGACATGGCAATACTGAACTCCAGGTGGTACAAGAAGAGCTGAGGCCTTGGAGTCAGGAGACCTGAGTTCAGGTCCTGGGATCCTCAAACATGCCATTTACATTCTTTCCTCCTGCACTTGTGCTGAAGGTCAAGTGAGATGAAGGATTTTTCCTGTGAAAATCCTCTGTGGATTGCAAATGCCTGAGAGAGGCTGAGGTTGCCATTCTGGAGTTGGGAGACAGACTTACAAAAACTGAGCACAGCATTGCAGTTGGTAACTGCACCTTGGCTGCCAAGGTGTCCATGTGTATAAAAAGCAAATCTGAGTGGCCGTTCCTTTCAATCCAAGTGAAGATGAAAGTGTTAGGAATAGCAAGGTGGCTCACCTCCCCCTCCCCTAAGCAGGCTGCCCAGATCTATGCCAAGGAGCATCCCCTCCTCTAGCAAAGGCTTGGCTTTGTCTCCTCCAGCCCCAGCAGTGAGCCCAGAGGGCCCCAAGCTAGGCAAAATGAGGTCTAAACCTATGGGGGTGAGGGGGAAATGGGATGCATTCCAAACACGCCTCCCAGGGCCAAAAGCCCAAGTAGGATTCCTTCCAGCTACCTCCCAGCCCATTCACACTCCTGCCTCAGGCCCCAGCTGTGGTAGAAGGGAAGGTGGTGTTCCTCCAGTTGGGTCACAAAACCACATGGGGCATACATACCATGGGTACTCAGAGCCAGGACAAATGGGGAAACCAGGAAGTAGACTGGGCCTCTGACTGGGACCTCTCTGGTTCTCCCAGAAGGAGTGGGACTTGGTACAGCCTTTCCAGAGACCTGTTGACCCACAGGAGCCCTAACCTGAAACCTTTTCTCACACCCTTTGACTGAGCAATGCATGTCTGGGAACATGTCTTAGAAAACCATCAGAGATGTCTACACGCATATACAGTTGATTGTTGAACAACATTGCACAATAGAAAGTCTATGCATAACTTTGGACTCCCCAGAACTTACCTACAGCCCCTCAGTATCCTCGAGGGATTGGATCCAGGACCTCCCTCAGGTACCAACACCTGCAGTTTCTTAGGTCCCTTGTATAAAGTGGCGTAGAGCAATGCATGTGTTTGGACCTCCACATTGTGGATTCCCATTTGATCCACAATTGGTTGAATCTGCAGGTGGGAAACCTGGGGATATGGAAGGCTTAGTGTACATTTATTTTTAATGTTTTTTAAAAATATATTTTTATTGATTTCAGAGAGGAAGGAAGAGGAAGAGAGATATATAAACATCAAAGATGAGAGAGAATCATTGATTGGCTGCCTCCTGCAAGCTCCCCACTGGGGACTGAGCCCACAACCCGGGCCCGAAACAAACCTGTGACCCCTCAGTTCACAGGCTGACGCTCCATCCACTGAGCCAAACCGGCCAGGGCTGTACATTCATTTTAAAAAATCAACATGTAAATAGACCCGCACATTCAAACCACATGTTCAAGGGTCAACTGTCACAGAATTATTTATGATAAAATATTTCCATAATTGGGGATTGATGAAACAAGTTCTATACTCACACAATGAAATATTATCAAATCAATTTTTAGAAATCAACTTTTAAAGGGTAGTTTAAAAAATGGAAATGTGCATAATTTTTAAAATTCTCACCCGAAGATATGTTTATTGATTTGAGAGAGGAAAGAAAGGAGACACAGAGAGAGAAACATTGATGTGAGAGAGAAACATTGATTGGCCGCCCCCTCCTACACCCATACATTCCCCAATTGCAACCTAGGTATGTGTCCTGACTGGGAATTGAATCTGCAATCTATTTTGGAGGTATGGGACAATGTCCAATCAACTGAGCCATCCGGCTGGGACTAAAATTTTTTGAAGTTGAAAATGTAATACAAATGTCAAATAATACCAAAGAGAATAGGTCCTACCCTCTAGCTTCCACCTAGAGACAACTTCTGTTATTAACTTCTTAGGTATCTTTGTAGATGTAATACATACACACACATTTTTTTTTTTTTAACAAATTGTATCATTCTATGATCCTGTTCTGCACCTTAAATCTTTAAAAATCTAACGATAGGTCTTGGAGATCTTTCCATGCTAGCACATAAAACCAGTAAGTTTTTCCTTGCAGCTGCAAACTAGTCATTGTGTATGTACATATTTTATTTGACCATCCTGCTGCTGATGGCCACTGAGTCAGTTTCCTGTGTGTTTTGCTGTTCTGTCGCAATGGACATCTTTGCATATGTATCTGCCCTCATGTGTTTGTAAGTCTGCGTGCTAGATTATTAAATTTGTTAGGCATTAACAAATATTATGAGTCATATTATGACATAACTCATTGATTTAGCAAATACTTAATGAGTGTCTGTCTACTCTGGGCTGGGTGCTGTTTGTTACATGTGGCAGAATTTTAAGCTTTAGAGTAAAAAAGATGGATACCAAATTCCACATTCAAAATGATTCCAAATGTGTACCACAACACATGCATACACTGGTGTATTTATAGGTGAGATGTGGTCCCTGCCCTCTAGGCCCCAGCGATCTGTGGCAGAGCACAAAGGTGTGTGCACAGGTGGGCTGCAGTAACACTCCCAGATTCGGTGCAGTCTAAGTGGCCAGCATGGTCTTTGGCACATAGTAGGTGCCCTAGAACTATGTGTTGAATGAATGGAGCGGGTTCAGAAAGGCCTCCCGGGAAGGTGGCTCTGAGTTCAGCCTTTGGGGTCCAGCAGAGTTACCACCAGAGGCATGGCAGAGAGTAGAGCCGCCAGAAGGACCAAGGCGTGGAGGTGGGAACTCGCACAGTACAGGAGGGGGATGCTTTCAGAGTGGTGGTCCCAGGGCTTTTGTTTTCTGTCTATGTGACACTGCAGTGTTGTGTTTTCCCCCCAGGCACGCACCATTGGCCTCAACCCGCTGTACGTCATGATCCCCTGCACCCTGAGTTCATCCTTTGCCTTCATGTTGCCTGTGGCCACCCCACCTAACGCCATCGTGCTTGCCTACGGACACCTCAAGGTTTCTGACATGGTAATGCAGCTGCTTTTATTTACTCCTACCAGCTCTGATGCTTTTGTCATGAGGGAAATGCTATTTATTAATGACTTGTGATGTTATGTAATTTGGGGATATCACCCAAAGTCCAGCCCTATCCTCATTATTGGCATTTATGTGCAGTTTTTACTCTTTTTTTAAAGACCATTTCACACTTCACACTGTGCTCTCTCCCAAAGTTGAGAGGTGGGTAATAGAATCTTCCACCAAGGAAGCCCTCCCTGAGCACTTGTAAGGGGTGAGGGAGGGGTCCCACATGGCCAAGATGGACTTCACCAACTAGCAAGAACCCATAAGGACCGGCAGGAGGGACTAGGCCGAGATGGGTCACAGGGGTGGATACCAATGACAGAGATTGACTGAGAGAGGTGTCTGCAGGCATAGAAGCAGGAACAGGGAAAGGCAGTGCCTAGGGGAGATGGAGCCTTGTAAACAGATGCAGCTGGTGGAGGAACTCTCTTAGGTTCTACTTGGGCTCTATCACCTCTGCCAGTAGAGGGGCCGGTCTCAGAGGGGGACAGGCAGGAAGGGAGGGTCCTCCCTCAGTCCAGTCAATCTTGAGTGATTTCAGAGCCTCTGCTGGGTAGCTTTGGGTGTCTGTGGAGCATTCTTAATAAGAAACCATGGACCACAAACTCAGTTCAGGTCCCCAGTGAAGAATCTGCACAGGGCTTGAAGCAGTGCTTAGTGAGCAAGAAGAAAGGCCTGTCATCAGAAAGAGCCAGGGAGGTTCTAGAGAAACCAGCAGGTGCTCCAGGGATGCGAAGGTACTGGGGTGAGCAGTCCCTAATGTCAGACCTCAGCTCCCCTAATATTTCTCTTGAGTGGCCTGGGATGTTGCCTCATGCCCCTCCATAAGGCCCAGTGTTGTAAACATACAAGCAGGCAGAGACCCCGCCATTATGCCTGTTTCCCAGAGATGCTTGAGCACCGATGACACTTACTGGTTATGAAACTGCTCTGTCTGTGGGGTAGGGTGACCACAGAGCATGGCCCAGGGATGGGGGTCCAGCAAACCAGCCTGCAGCCCCTTCTCCAAGAGCACTAGTTTCCTTTCACCTCTGTTCTGAATCCCACTCACCTGCAGGTGCTGACTCTTAGCCCTGATCTTCCCCCAGGTGAAAGCAGGACTAATGATGAACATAATTGGAATCATCTGTGCGTTTGTGGCGATCAACACCTGGGGACGGATCATATTTGACCTGGACAATTTTCCTCCCTGGGCTGCCATCTAGTTACACTTAGGAAGAGCCACAGCCCTGCCTTCCTGAGAACTGCCAAAGCTTCTGGCACACCGTACAGCAGAGCTTTGGAGTTGACACCCCAAAGTGACCTGATGATGCCCTCACCCCACAGAGACCCAGGCTCGGCTCCTAGCTGGGAACCGCTGGCTGGAGTGTAGGTTTGCGAATAAAAGGAACTTCCCAAGGTGCATGTGGCTTCCATCTTTCTGGGAAACCTGCCACTACCTCTGAGAGGGGCATGCTGCACAGAGACCAGGAGGACAGCTCTTGGCCCAACTCAGCCTTGAGCTGGCCCCATGCTGGGTTCTGATGTCCAGTTGCTTAGTCTCAGGGTCATCTAAATGGGGATCAGATCCCAGCTTGGGAGGTGAAAAATGACCTTCCAGAGCCTGCACCTTTTGCTGCTGACCTTGAGCTGCCTCAGATCACTCCTGTCACTTGGAAGGGACAACCCAGCCCAGGGACAGAATGTCTGGTCCTGGAAGCTTCCTGCTGCTGGAGTGAGAGTGGGACTCAGAGCCTTCTGGAGTCACCAGGAGTGTAATGCCAACACCCAAGGATGAGAGATTTAAACTGATAACTTCCGGATGACATCACCCATGGTACATCACGGGCCAACCAGCTCCCCTCCTTACCTTGCTCCATTGGACTGACAGTTCAGAGCCCTTTCCCAGCTCTCTAGAGCGCCTCCTTCACCTCCTAGGTCCCTTCGTTGTCTGGGCCAACATTCACTGGGATCTCCTTGCTGGGGCCCTCTGACTCCCCCCACCCCTCCCCCTGCTCTCAAAGGCAGCTCAGCTTGGCTCTTCTTGGAGTGGGTCTTCTTGCCACCCCACACCGTTGGGATCACACTCCAGGTATGGGAAGGGTGGCTTCTTTGGGAACACAGTTGGGTATCTAGGTCGCCCCTCACCTGAAGGCACAGAGTGGATACAGCTGTGAACTGCCTGGAGCAGCGTCCCTTTGGAGTTTGTCCTTCTAGAGTTGGAGCTCCCCTGGGGAAAGCCTTCGCTTTGCTGACTGGCCTTCACAGCCACGCCTGGTGGGGACACAGCATCGCTGAGAATGAGCAGTGCTTGGTCCCTGAGCAGACAGCCCCTGCCATGAGTGAACCTGTATGAAATTGCTGGAGCAAAGACCTCAGAAAGACTGTGGGAACCCTCAGAACCCCTGTGAGTGAGACATGAGAGATGTCCATCCCCTTGCCCCGCAGCCCCATTTTCTTTCCTGTGCTGCTGTGGGAGAAAGGCCAAAGCAGATAAGTGATGGTGTTTTTCAGGGCGGGAGAAAGTATGGGAACCCAAGGAGACCCCCTCAAGGGCCAAGCATGTGCCTGGTTCCTTGGGTGGGCAGATTCTTGGCCACCACATCTGCTTCCTATAAAAAGATGCCAGGTGCTGACTATCTGGCATTCTAGGGTGGGCAGGGGCAGGCGGATGAATGAACACTTATCGTCGCCCACCTCCTGTCAAGCTCCCTGTACCTGGTGCAGCCACCACTTATCTCATTTGACCTTATCTCACCCACCCTGTATCTCAGCAGCCCTGTGAGATAGGCAGGTGATAGTATCCTTGTTTGTCTTTCAAGAACCTGAGGCTCTGAGAAACCAAGTAAGTCATGTGTCCTATCACACATCTAGTTAGTTAGTAGCACTTAGGGTTCCAATCCAGGTCCTCAGTCTCCAAGTCCACTGCTCCTTTCTTGAGTCATCAAGGGCCTTGGCCTTCTAAGGCCTGTGTGGGAAAGGGAGTGGCCAAGAGCAAGTCCACCCAAGGCCCTGCCTATTCAGGGAAGATCACCTAATAAGAGCCCCTTTCTGCCGCCTCCTCTGAGATGGGCTCAGGACACTTGGGGCAGACAGAGCGGAAGAAGCAAAGCATTTGACCCATCCTGTCATTTCTGGTCTCTACCCAGCTGCTCTGGACACATCTGCCACACCAGTCTGAGGGCTTCTGAGGACTTACCTTGCCTGCTGTGTCCAATGGCAGCTCTGTGACTAACTCAGGGCAGGCCACCATAAGTGTGATTAGTAAATAATCAAGTGATCGGGCCCAATCAGCATACCTCACTGGTTGAGTATCTACCTACTAACCAGTAAGTCATGATTTAATTCCTGGTCAGGGCACATGCCTGGGTTGAAGGCTCCACCACCAGTAGGGACGTACAGGAGACAGCAGATCAATAATTCTCATCATTAATCTCTCTCTCCCTTTCTCTAAAGATCAATAAAAACATATTAAAACATGGACAGAAAACAAATGACCGCTGTGGTCAATTGGATGCACATCTTGGGATAGTAGGCAAGGTCAGTGAAGGTGATTCAAGGTACACCTTGAAAGAGGAGGAGGACTGGCCAGGCAGATGATGGCATGTGGTGTGATGGGTGGAGAATTCTACCGGACTCCATCTGTTTGATGGCTGACAAGCAAGCGGGGTGGGGGCTTCACAAGAGCAGATCCCATGGCTGGGGAGGCTGAATTATAGGCTGTTTCTATACAACTTCTCTTGAAGTTGGTTGGAGTTACACTAACAGTTATGGCCAGTGCCAAAAAGGGTTGCTTTTGGCTACCAGTAAGAGAGACATCTAGCTGACGCTAGCTTAAACCATAAGGGCATTTAATGTAACAAGAATTCTGGAGGTAGACAGCTGCTGATGTTGATCCAGCCGCTCATTCAGGCCACCAAGGGCTTGGGCTTTACCATCCACTCTGCCATTCTAAGGGTGTTTTGCCTTTCTCTACTCTCACGCTTGACCCTCATGCTACGTACACATCTGTATTGAAGGCAGGAAGAAAGAGGCTTGGGGTGGGGGCATGAAAGTGTCTGCTTCATCTTTCCCTTTTATTAGGAAAGCAAAATCTTTCTCGGAAGCATCTACAGAATTCCCTTCATGTCTTATTGGCCAGAAGCCAATCACTGACAAAGGGTAATTGGAATACCATGAGGCCAACTAGGACCCATCTCGTGGGCTTGGGGAATTAGCATATGCTTCCTGAAATGAAGAGATTTCTATTCACTACAAAACCTGGGCTCTGATAGGAACAAAGAGGGGGAGCTATTGGGTAAGTGATGTCCATGGTCGGGTGCTGTGACCCTTTCAGGGGAGTCCTTACCCCAGGCTGCCTGAGTGGCTCCCTTTCCATGGAACTCAGTAGAAGCATGTTCCTAGGAGGGAAGAGAGTCCATGGTTGTCTGGTCAAGGGCTTCGCTTCAGCTCTGCTTCCAGTTCCCAAGGCCAGGACTCCCCAGGAGACCCACTGGATTGGGAGATTAGAGCCTGAGTCATGAACTGAGCTTGGTCCCAACATCTGACACAAGTCAGTCCACTCTCTGGTTTCAGTTTCTATCAGGAAGGGGCTGGACCAGAGGATGTGTAAGTCCTGTCTCCCTTAGCCCATCTGGTCCTCCATCTGCTTGGGCCAGATGAGGTCCCCATGGTGTCTCAGGGGGCTCTGTTGCACAGCCCACCCTATGTCCATCCAGGTCTTAGCCATTTGCTGAAAACCCTTTCAGACCTATTCCTAAGGACCTATCTTGCCTCTTACACTTTGTCAAGTGGTTCAGCTAAGACCCTTCAGTTTTCTCTAAGGCAAGCATGTCAAACTCAAAGGCTAACACAGGCCAAATGAATGAGGTATGTGGCCTGGGGACTGTGAGTTTGACATGCTTGCTCTAAGCAGTGGTCGGCAAACTCATTAGTCAACAGAGCCAAATATCAACAGTACAATGATTGCAATTTCTTTTGAGAGTCAAATTTTTTAAACTTAAACTTCTAACGCCACTTATTCAAAGTATTTTCGCTCAGGCTGTGGTATTTTGTGGAAGAGCCACACTCAAGGGGCCAAAGAGCCGCATGTGGCTCAAGAGGCTCCAGTTGCCCACACGGCTCTAAGGCATCTGGATCAGACATTTGGGCCCAAGCTTGGCTGAACACAGAATCCTAACTAGGACTGCTCTCAACTGTGTTGCTAGGAGCCCACACGGATCCTATGCATTCCACAGATCAGGACCCAGAATTCTGGAGGTTCCTTCCCCTCTGATCCCCCAATTGGGATCCTTCCCTGCCCCTCTGAGCTGAGAACTTCCTTAGGGAAAGGCCTGTGCCTCCCTCTCTGGCAGAACCAGGGAGCAGGGGACCTCCTGGGACACGTGAAGTTCTCTCTCCTCCCTACAATCTCACACACCAACGAAAATAATGGATAGCGAGGTGTTTGCTCTGGACTCCAAGCAGGGAATCAGTCAGTAACGCAGTCCAATTCTCAAAATCAATGCGGGCATTCCTGGGTAAGGCCCTTAATGGCACATTCCTGTTTGTAGAAATAAAGACCAAATGTTGGTCAATTAAGAACCAGACCTTGCATCCTAATCTTATCTAAGAACCCTCTCCCCTTACTCCCACAGCCTCCGAAAGCTTTGTCTCCCAACCCACCAGGGAAGCGTCTTTTCATATTAAAAAAAAAAAAAAAATCCACCAAGAGGAGTCTTCTTCACCATGGGATGAGTTTTCACATTCCTTCACAGAAAGCTTCTCATTTCAGGCTGAAATCTGCAATCAGATATTCCGTTTCTTTCCTTGGGTGTCGTGATTCAGGGCTCTCCTTCTCACTTCCCAGCCCAAGGAATGTTCTCCTGGATCTGCTTGTCCAAACACCCCCTCCACCCTCAGAGACGCAGGCCGTGACCCTTGGCTGTTCCAAAGCAGCATGTAGGCCCTGCTTCCAGCTGCGGAGGGCAGGGGAATACTCAAATTCAATCTTGGAACATCCTGTCAGCCTATCAAGAGACTTAAACTATAAGTATATAATACATTAGTTTTATTTGTATATAATTAGTATATAATACATTAGTTTCAGGTACACAATATAATGATTCTATATTTGTATATATTGGAAAAACAATCAGCACAATAAGCTAGTTATCTATTACTATACATAATTACAAAACTTTTTTTCTCGTGATGAGAACTTATAAGATCTATTCTCTTAGCAATT